AGAGGGAGAGTATAGGCAGAGGAATCTGGAGGAATTCGGCCTGCACAGCAAGCATTTTATCCATTGAACCATCTTGCCAGTTCTAGAAAATGGAACCAAAATTGTGTCTTCATGTGTGTGTGTGTGTGTGTGTGTGTGTGTGCATATATATGTATGTATGTATATTATGTATATAATATTATTGTGTGTATATATGTATATTGTATATATATATTATTATTGTGTGTGTGTAAATGGCTGTAGAATTCACCTTTAAAGAGAATGGCTGCATGTGTAACAGTATCCACATGGCTTTATTACTCTATCTCATGGTATGATATTTGGGTCATTTGGGGATTATTCTCTCTTGGCAGCGAAGAGTTTGAGAGGGTTGAGTCAGCCTTTTCCATGCAGTGTTGGGTTTTGGGGTTGGGACATTACCAAACTCTGAACCACTATCTAAAAATATATCATGGGGTTCCTAGGCAGATAGCAGGGGAGCCCTTGTGAGGTGCAACTAGGCCTAGGCAAGTTCTGGAACCAGGCCTATCTGCTAGTGATCCTACCAGGTGCTGGGTGTTTGGGGAGCTGAGCCCTCTGTCCGAGTAGAGGGGTCTGCTCCTGACACAATTGCAAGAGAGTGTGTTAGCCGAGCATGGACCGTGCCCTGTGTCTTGTGGTTACTATCCCTTGATAAAGCCTCCTACATGCCTCATACCAGCTTTAGGCACCAAGTTCCCCCTGCCAACACCATGGTCCTTTCCCCTGGATGGTCACGTCCTTTCACAGATATTGTGGTTTTCCAAACACTCCTGGAAGTCACATGGAGCAGGCTTACCACACACACCCACCTCGAAAAGGGAAGAAACTGAGGACAAAGGAGTTAAATAGGCTACTTGGAGTCATGATCAGTTAACGGAGAGGCCCTGACTAGAACCCAGGACTTGCAGCGCCAGCTCAGAGAATCGAAGGCTTCCCCTTCGATTCTGTCCACAGTGAGCTTTCTGACAAGGACATATTCTCGGGTCTCTGAGTTAGTATCGGCATAATCCAAGGCTTGGGAATCTGCTCACTCCCGCATTTTACCCTGAGTGGCTGTCCTAAGGCAGGGAAGCCCTTGCCATTTGTCTTTCACCCCCATATCCTAACTTGGTTGCTTATGTGGGGACCTCAGCTTCTGGCTGCAGAGGCTTCTTGGGGGGCAAAGGCCTGCGGTTGTCACTGTCTTCACCTGCTTTTGAGTCTACAGGTGCCTTCTGATGGGCATCATGCTACCACCGCAGATTCTGCTTCTGTGCATGTGCAGTGGCCATGGAGTAGTCCACTGTGCATGTTAAACCTAGGATAGTTGTCTGTCTGTCTCACTCCATCCCCACTCTACACACACACATATATACACACACACAGAGGTATATTGTTTTTTAAGAATTTCAATGGCCAGGATATTGCTCAGTGGTAGAGTGCATGCTTTGCATGTATGAGTATGTGGATTCAATCCCCAGCATCTCCACTCTTTAGCCAGGTATGGTGGCACACACCTTTAATCCCAGCACTCGGAAGGTAGAGGCAGGCAGTTCTCTGTGAGTTCAAGGTCAGCCTGGTTTACAGAGCAAGTTCCAGGACAGCCAAGGCTACATAGATAAACCCTGACTCAAAAAACCAAAGAAAAAATTTTCATATACGTATTTTCCCCTTCTTCTCCCTCTAACTCCTCCCATTCCCCAGACTCCCTTTCAGATTTATGGCCTCTAATTCTTTAAACACATACTGTTCGTCAACCTATTGACCACAGTTTGCATAAAGCCAGAAGACATGAAGCGGCTATTAACCTCTCCTATAGCACTTTGACTTTGCTGATGCCAACAAAGGCGGTAGAAACAAACCTTTCCCGGGGGCTCCTGAAAACCAACGTAACTGTCTTGCTTTGCAGATTTCCTATCATAGAGTTATGTCCACGTCCCCCTAACAGAACCTGATGGTCCTTTTCCATCTCATTTTCCCTGTCTTCTTGAATAGTACAGGGTTAAAGAAGGCCTCCCAGGGAACGTGACATCAAGAAGGCTGGCCAGTGATAGCAGTGACCCTAGTGGGGTTCTTTATCTGCAAGGGCGAGCTGTTCTAAGCCATGGTTCCCAGCACAGCTACCTAAGAAAGTTACACAGGGGCAGGGGACAGGAGTGCATGCTTGTAGTCCCAGCAATGGGGAGGCTAGGGCAGGGCCACCTTGAGTTCAAGGCCTGCCTGAATTACATGGTAAGGCTCTATATCATAAAAGCAAAACCAGAATGAGACAAAAAGTTAAACATCTTCATCTCCAGGCCTTAGCCCAGAGCTAACTCAGGGACTCTAGACTTGAAATCTCGATCTCCTTCGTTCTAAAAATTCCCCAGAGTGTTCTAGAATGCTGCCAGGGTTGACACCTACTGCTCTGAAAGAGTCAACTCATTGTTTAGAATAGAAGTATTTGCACATCTGGGAGGTGTGCACTGGAATCAGGGCAAAGGGCACTTTTAAAATGACACCAGTCCCCCGGCCATACATTCCAGACCATCTGAAGCAGTGACTTCCAGTCCTTGTCCACACCAGCTGTTCCTGCTGATGGTGAGCCAGCGTACAAATGTTTCCTTTACAGCCGTCTCACAGTGAATCATGACTCCCCTTTCACAGGTCAGGAAACGGATGCTCAGAGCTGGTAGTGACCTGACTGACCCATATGACTGCATAAAGGAGGCCCTGAAGCAGGTCTGTCTAACCTTGAGACCTGTCCCAGTTGCCCAGACCCCACCCATTGCATCATGGGCCTAGTGGAAAGTTTTTCTACTCTGCCTTTTAACAGTCAAAGGCAAGGGGGCCCTTCCTGAGAGAAGAGAGGCTTCAGGATGCCTGGGGTTGCCAGTGTTTGGTTCCATCCTAGTTACCCACTCTCGGAGTGCCTCCCTTTGGAGGGAGGAAGAATAGGTCTGCCCTGCTCCTTCTTTTCACTCTTATCCTGAAGAAACCGAGAGCCAAAAGCAAATACTCAATTTTTGAGAACTTGAGGAATTTTTCGGTCACGTGACAGAAAGCCATGTCCATTCCCTTCATACGAGCAAAGAGATGCTACATCAAGGTGACCTGGAACCTTGAGCTCTACTTTCCTACATCACCTTTGTACCTTCCCAGTTCATGACATAGTCAGTGCAGCCTGAAGCTGGGAACTGGGGGATTCGGGTGTCAAACCTAACCCTGTACCACCAGCATGCATACAACTTAAAATCCTTGAGTTCCACTTTCTCCATCAATCAACTCACTCAGGATTGTGGAGGACACTTCCAGGAACTCTGAAATTCCAGGCCTGCCAGCAACCTCTTGCAGCACCAGAAGGAGAGGAATATACTGCCCCAGTGCTGACCTAAAGCTTTGTTAAATGTTTGCTGGCACCCACTCAGGAACCTTCTGTCCCCAAGACCCAGAGTGGCTCCGCGTGGCCATCTGTGTTAGAAATCACACTGAATATGTACACCCTGGCCTTCCTCCACCTGCATGAGCCCCTAGTGTGTGGACAGCTCAGAGCCAATACTTGGAGTCTGAAAAGCTGAAACATTAGTTAGTGGATGGTGTAAGGTGAATTGGCCCCAAGCCTAGTTCCTATGGTCCTCTTCTCTCCCAGGGCCCCTCTGCACCTGTTGTCTCTTTGCACCTTTGTTCCCTGTTATTTACCAACCAGCACAGGACACATGCTCACAGCATTGAGTGAAGGGCGAAGGTGGAGAGATGAACGAGTTTGCTTTTGATGACGTCTCTTAAGTGCTGGTCGTAGGAGGCTGTTTAGCTGTTGGCTGTCTGCTTGCTTGCTCGACCAGTTTATTTAGAAGACCATCTCTTTAAAGATTATTCTAACAGCAGAATACTGTAGAAACAATGTCATTTTCCGAGGCTGGGACAAATACCCAGTTTCTCACAACTGTAACTTTTGCACCAGCTCCACTAAGAGAGTGCATCTGGGCTCTGGATCCAGTGGGCCCCTTACTAAGCAGCATAATAAACCTTTCTGAGTTACCTAGGCAGTGTGTGTTATACCCAAATCACGGAGTCCTCCAAAACCAACTAGAAGACCGAGTCCTATATGTTAAAGCAAAGAGCCTTTATTCAAGCTTAAGCTTGTACTCTTGGTCTGTCTGCCGCAGCGGTTGAGAACAGAGTCCAAGCTTGGTTTTGGGGCGGGGGCACTCCGTGATCTGGGTATAACATGTATACTTGAGGGGAGGTGGGGGAACATAGAGCAATGTGGAAGGTGAGAAGGAGGACCTCGGAGGGTAAGGAGGAGATACTAGCAATTCCCCAGGGATTTAGATCTGTCCCAGCTCATGGCTGAATTGAGACGAAGAAGCATGGACTGTCCTCAGAGCACCCAGGGAGGCTGGCTCAGGGCGCCTTGGCTCTCTGGCTAGACACCATTTCATGGTCTCCATCTTGAAGAGCCTGAGCAGGGTCCTGTCTCCCGAGAAGCTTTGCGAGCAGCTGGCTTTGATGTCTGGTTTTGTTATTCATTCTGTCATGAGTCGCTTGACCTCTCCTTACGCCCCAGTTTCCAAATTTTGCCACTCCCTGTTCACGCTGTGATGATGATTAACTCTGCCAAGTGGTCTTCACCCCAACCCCCATCCCAGTCAGGATTCTTACCAACCCAGCCTGTTTATGGACGTTGTGACTTTAGGTGGCAGTTTAGACCTGGCTTCTAGCTGAGGCTTCATAAGGGCAAGGTTAACCAAGTCGGTGCTTTCCAGAGTCTTGGTGATCGCCTTTGTGTACCAGCAACAAGAGAACACCCCTTCCTAGTAAAATGTCAAGGTCTCGTAGCAATGGAAGGGAAATCCCAATCCCTGTCCTATCTCAGTCACTGCACGTCAGGCAGGCAGGGCCACTGGCCAGTGGTACGCTTTTCTGTCTTGGCAGAATAATCTGGTGATTGCTTGGTAGTCAGCATGAGGGTCACTTCCCCAGGGGCTGCACCTTAATTGTGTGGGTCCGTGTCCCCACAGCGGCCAGTTTGCCATCGTGAAGAAGTGCCGGGAGAAGACCACAGGGCTGGAGTATGCGGCCAAGTTCATCAAGAAGAGGCAGAGCCGGGCCAGCCGTCGGGGCGTGTGCCGGGAGGAAATCGAGAGGGAGGTGAGCATCCTGCGGCAGGTGCTGCACCCCAACATCATCACGCTGCACGACGTCTATGAGAACCGCACCGACGTGGTGCTCATCCTCGAGCTGTGAGTGGGGCAGCAGGACCCATGGTCGGGGTGGGGGTGGGGATGTAGGGTGGGCAGCAGAGATAGGTCAGGGTGGTGGAAGCTCCGGCCACAGGCCCCAGGACTAACCGCAACCAGACCAAACCTCAGCCCAGAGAAGATACAGTTAGTGGTAGGCAGCTTCCCTCTGCCTCAGTTGTCCCATCCTCCTCCTAAAATGGGGCCAAAGGAGGGGGTGAGCTTGCCAAGTGGCAAGGATAGCGAGTAATGGCCTGACTCTTATTTCCATTGGGTCTTGAAGGTCACAGAAACCAGCGATTCTGGCTTATTTCTTGGCCAGAGGAGCATTAACGAGAGTGAGAAGGAGGGGAGGGTAGCTTGGGTAGCAGATACTGTCAGAGCATCTGTCTGAAAGAGAAGAATAAGCATCCTTTCAGCTCTCCCGAAACCCTTCTCTAGCCCTTCCCTGGGGAAATCCACTACACTGGCACTCTGTTTAGTACTTGCTGTTATTTACCCACTAAACCACTTCACTGGTCAGTAGCTGCCGTTTAAAGAGCCCAGCTAAACCCTGCGTCCGCAAGGTGTCTTGTATTGGTCATCTTGCCAGTCCTGGCTTTAGTGAGCCTTCCTAACTCAGAAAGGTTATTTTATATTCACTTTGCTTACCTTATCTCACCCTCATAGTGATACAACCACAGAGACTCTTAGTATACCCATTTTACAGACCAGAGCACCAAGACGTCAGCGTCCTATAGCGGGGAAGAGCAAGGCTGAGACTTCCATCCGAATGGCTTATGTAGGCAGCCGTGCACATGAGGTGGTACAGCCTTGTGATGGCCTTGCTGGGAAAGACTTCACAGTGGCTGGTGGACTTTAGTTAGGTGACACCAAGACTCCAGCTTGGTTGTCTACTCTGATGTCCTCCTGAGTGGAGCTTGGTGGGTAGTAGAGTCTGAGTCAGGCTATGGCACAAGTAACAACAGCCTTACCCAGCCAGTTAGCAAGACCCATGGTAAGAGGATTCTGAGCCTCAAAAGCACGTAGTACACTTCTGTCAATCAGCACAACAATGGAGTGTTTGTCCCAGAAGTTCTTGATTTTGTGACTATGGGCAGGGCATCTGTGAACCAGGAAGTCTCCTTAGCCTGCCTCCAGATGGAGTGGACTGCCTGACATTTCAGATTGCTCTAATTCGAGACTTACCTGCATGTTGGCAAGATATAAATTTATCTAGCAGAAGGGAATTTGCATCCTCTCGCTTTAATTCTTGCATCATCGACTTCAGCGTCTAACTGCAGAGAATTGCCCGTGCTTTCGCCTTCTCTAGGGCCCAGGGTCCTCTGTGTTTCAGCCATGGACCCCTTTGCAAAATGAAATAGTTACTGTCTGTGCCTCCCTGACCCAGACAGGAGCCTGATGACACCTTCCTCCACCCCCAGGATGTTCAGTCACAGGGACACTCCACATGGCATGCACTAAGGCTAAGTGTTGCTGGTTAGCATCCTGAGTCCCAGCAGATAGTGGGAAGGCCGGAGTCTCTTCTTTAAAGGGCTGTTTATTATCATCCACCCCCGCCCCAAACCCCACAGGAACTGCAAGGAAACGCATCTATAATCCTCCAGTCCAGACACAGCTGCTGTGTTTCTCTGTGGTTCCTCCCAATCTCTATCACTTTGTATATAATTTTACAATTTCCTCTTCTACTTTTTCTCTCCAACTAACAGAATCCCATATATAGCCTTTTCCCATTTAAATAGCTGTGTCACGTTTCATTAAATTACACACCAGTGTTTCTCCATTGCTGGACATTTGCTATAATTTTCCAGCTGTTTCGCAGTCCCCTTTTCTTTTGAATTAGTCATTTCAGCTGACTCTCCAGGCCTGGAGGATTAAGTTAACGGTGGGCAGGTATAGGCTCTTGGTGACTGCACTCCCAAAGGATGCAGGGATGGGGCAGTGTTTCTGTTTGTCTTCAGCCTTGGTGGCTATGGGTCATTTGTTGAAAAATGCACATCTTTCATTATTCATCTTTATAGTTATAGATCAGTATCTTGACATTTTAATTGGTGTTTCTTTAACTGCTGGGAAGATGGTCTCCCTCTGTTTGTGGAACCTCAGCATTTGGGCTATAAGATGTTTCTGCCCTATCTCTAGTTCTCCCAGCCAGGGCTCATGATCAGTCAGTACTGATATACAGTCATCTTGTGAGTGCAGGTGAACCATGGGTAATGTCAGTTCCCACATAGGAGCTCCCCCACTTGCTATGCTGTTGAGTTCTAGCTGTCCACAGCTTCTGTCTCCTCCTTTACTTCCAGGCTGCCTCGTTGTGCTTGTGATGTCTGACTGAGGAAAACTAAGGGTTAGACCATGCTTGTTGGGCTGCAAGGAGGATTCCTAAGGGAGGAGGACTTCTGGGAGGGGGAGGACTTCCGAGGGAGGAGGAAGACTTCCCAGGGGAGGAGGAGCTGACTTCCTAGGGGAGGAATTCTATATTTTTGGTTGTGAGCCTAGCCTTTTAACGGCTGAGCCATCCCTCCAGGCCTAGGGGAGGAATTCTAAAAGTTTTTGTTTGGACTTGGTGACTCTTGTTGGGCAGCGCAGAAGTTTTTGGCATTCGGGTCCTCACTGGAGAGTAGGTTTGCCCAGTGGCTGGACATAAGTGTTATTGTCCACCTGTTCACTTTCAGAACTGGCTTGTTTATTCAGCGGTGATTTTCTCATGCGGCATCTCACTAATATAGTTCAGGCTGCTCTAGACCTCATGACACTCCTGGCTCAGCCTATCAAGTTCTGGGTTGACAGATGTGTGGGTTTATAGATGTGTGTGGCCAGATGTGTATAATGTGTGTGTGTACGTGCATGTGTTCAGTATATGTATACATGTGTGTGCGTGCACCTCTGTGTGTGGTGGCCAGAGGGGGGACATCCAGTGTCCTGCAGTGCCATTCTCTGCCTTATTTCCTTGAAACCGGGTCCCTCCCTGAAACTGGAGCTGGGCTGGCCATCAGTAGACCCCACTGAACCTCCTGTTCCGCCTCCCACAATGCTAGGTTTACAGGTGTGCATGACTACCCAGCTTTTTACATGGGTGCTGAGGATTTGAACTTGGGTCCTCATGTTTGCAGAACAATTGCTCTTACCCACTGAGCCATCTCCCCACCCCCTCACTTGCACTTTTGATGGGTACTGTTTCCCGCGCCCTCTTTAGCAGCTATTTTCTGGTATGGTGCCTCCTTTCATTTCTGCTGAAGGAGCCAGTGCTAGAAGGCATGCCGAGCCCTAACCCCCGCTCCTTTCAGCTGTCTTTATCCCATCTGTGGCTGCAGAAGCATCTGCTTCTGGTCATGGCAGTTGAAGGGAGGACTAGGAAGGATTTTGCGTCTGTGAAGTTGACTTGTGCATAGCGCTAAGACTACATTCAGAATCTCAGTATGAACTCATGTCCTGTGTGGAGAATGCTCCTTTACAGCTCTAAATGCCCTGGGTCCTCCTGGACTCCAGGATGGCAGCAGGTGATGCCCTGCCAAGTGTCCTACGCAGTGCTGATGCTTCCTAGTTTCCTAGGCCCAGCAGCTGTGGCAACGTTGTTTGTCCATCATTGCTTGTGCAGGTCGTTTATATACACGTCACCAGAGCGCTCTGGACAGCATTCACCAGGTGTACCAACCGCAGGGGAGAAGGCGTCGACCCTGAGAACACTGTAGCAGAGGAGAACAACCAGACCCTTAGCCTTCGCTTTTCATATTAATGCTGGAGAGATTTGGTTTGGGGTGTGAGCTGAAAGAAGCTTGGAAGGAGTCCAGCGGGGTGGTGCAGGCCTTTAATCCCAGCACTGGGGAGGCAGGGACAGGCAGATCTCTGTGAGTTTGAGGCCAGCCCCTGTCAAAGAAGAAGAGGAGGAGGAAGAGGAGGAGGAGGAAGCAGCAGCAGCAACATCTTGAAAAGAGGTGGGAAATGACCCAGGACAAAGGTCTCAGACCCGAGAGACTTTTAGATAAAAACTATGTTGCCAGGTTTGTAGTGACTTTGATGTGTCCTGAGTAACTTGGGCTTCATGCTATGGAGAAAGCGAGGTGAAGGGGACCTGTGGTGCCCTTGATCTCGTGTGATCTGGCCTTGAATCCTGGTTCTGTCCATTATTAGCTGTGTGGCCTGGGACAAGTCACTTGCTCTCTTTGGCCTTCAGTTTCCTCATGACCCCTGGGGATAGAGAAGTAATCTGCACCCCTCCGGGTGGGTGTGAGGGCCAAGTGAGAGAATATTCGGGAAAGCGTATGGTAGGAATGGTGAACTTTAAACTGTTTTGAGACCTCCTTCAGCGCTGCACCTCTGTAGTGAGACTGCACCTAGTGTTTACTTCACGGACTTCTCAAGGGCCTCCCAGTATTGATTCAACCTTGTGTCAGGAGTCCTCCCAGCCTGAGGTGCCCGGAGACATCTTTTCTCATTCTTGTTTCAAGAAAAAAAAGCTGGTGTCCAGGAACTTGCGCACTGCCCACCCCAAGGTTAAGGTTGTGAAAGGACTGGACCCCCACCTTAGCCTGGGGAAAGTGGCCCTCAAGTGATCCTTGCAGCAACTGTGAGGTTGCCTTCCCCAAGTGAGAGTGAGGGCAGGATGCTGGATGATGTTGCCATGAGACACAGACAGTGCTATGCTAGACTCCTCCCTAGCAACCACTCGCGCCCCTCACGCTGAGCAGGGAGTTCCTGCGACTTGGACAGCATGTTTGCTCCATGAGTATTTGTGTCCCCCTCTCCTTGATTTAAACACAAGCCCTGTTTCTGTGGTAAAAATACCCCCACAAAAGCAACCTGATGGAGGATGGGTTAACTCTGGCTCTTATTTTGAGGGTGCAGTCCATCCTGGCTGGAAAGGCATGCTGGTCACACCACAGCCACTGTCACAGATCAGAGAATGGCACGGAGCCTGCTTTCTCTTTTTCATTCAGTCCAAGAGAATTGAATATTGACCACATGTAATTCTAAATGTTTTAGTAGCCACATTAAGTAAAAACTAATAGGTGAACTAATTTTAATTATATTTTTTATTCACCCCAATACATACTGACTTTAATATGTAGCCAGTGTGAGTTATTAATGAGTATTATATATTACATATATATAATGAGTAATATATATTAATATACATATTAATATATATTAATTACTAGTCTGCATAAGCTGAAGTGGATTTGACACTTAGAGCACACATCTGCTTGCACTGGTTAATGTGAACAGCAGAGGCAGGCGGATCTCTGAGTCTGAAAACAGCGTAGTCTACAGAGCGAGTTCTAGGCCAGTCAGAGCTACAAACCAAGACCCAGTCTTAAAAAAAAAACAAAACAAGCAAACAAAAGCCAGTGTCTTAGGAGAGCACACCTAAGTCAATCACGGGAGGGGTTCAAGGTGATTCATTCTGGGGCGAATTCCACTTTAGTTAAACAGGAACGTCACACAAGCACCGTGGTTTAAAAGTCGGTGTGTGGTAGGCATAGTATAGACATTTCTATCCCAAAAGAGCAAATTCAGAGGAAAAATGAGTGACAGGCCTTGAGTCAGTCTAAGACCCCACAGCTTCAGAATCACCTTGGCATAATATTTTGCCCTTCAAGGCCCCAGGACACACAGATCCCGCATAACAGCTTTGGGTAACCCTGCCCTTGTTTTTGCTGGGAGCAGCCCACACCATAGCCCTCACAGGTTGGAGCTGCCTGGCTGAACGGTACAGGCACCTGTGGGTCTCAGGGCAACCCCATTCCCGTGGCCTGCGGGGTATTACTGTAGTGGGTGCTCTGTGCTTTTGCCTCCACCCACACCACAGTTCCCTTTGCACCAAACACTGAGGCAGCCTTTGAAATCCAGGTGGAAGTAGCCACACCCCCCCACAGCTTTGCTTGGCACCCAGCAGTCTCTTCAGGAGCCAGTGGAAGCCACACCTGGTGTGACTGGTGAGCATGGCGTGAGAGCCCAGGAAGCAAAGGCCTCCACAGGAACCAGTCAGTGCTGGGCAGCGGCAGGGCTCTTCCTTTGATAGGGTTCTGTCCTCCGGGCCCTGAATGTGTTGTTGATAGGAGTGGAGTTCTTTCCCTATATGAAGTCTAAGATGGCTTGAAATCATTATCTCTTTGTCTTGGACAATAGGCCCTTTGTACAGCTGACTAATCGCCCTCATTGTCTTGATGAATAACACCTGGCCAGCCTCCTTTGGGCTCCCGAGCCACGCAAGCAAATCTCCTTATCTAGCCGTCCTCGGCCACACCTGTGTTCTCTCCTCCACAAAGTTTTCTCCTTTGTTTTCTTCCCAGTAGGAATAGGCTGAAAAAATTCAAACTTTTGTGTTTTCCTTATTTATTTTATCTAGCAATTCTGTTTAAAAATACTTCTCTTTGGGCCAGTGAGATTGCTCAGTGAATAAGGGTGCTTGCCACCAAGTCTGATGACCCGAAGTTTGATCCCTGGGTCCCATATGGTGGGAGGGGAGAACCACCTCCTGCAACTTGTACACACACATACATGCACGCGCGTGCGTGCGCGCGCGGGCACACACACACACACACAGATGTATGCACACACATGCACACACACGCATGTATGCAACACATGCACACACACACATACCACATGCGTAGACACACAGAGACAGACACACAGAAACACACTCTACATTTCTAACATTCGTCCTCTTCTTTAACATTTCACTGTGTTAAGAGGAACCAGACAGCCTCATCAGCCCTGTGCCTAGACATTTTCTCAGCCAGATATCCAGTCTCATCACCCCCAGGTTCCACCTTCTATTAGACACTAGCACATGAACAAAATTTGTCGGGGTTACTCAATCACACTGTGAACGCCGAGTTTGCATTTGTGATAATAAAAGTAACTTTGGGTCAGGAGGCTGAGTTAGCAGCTAGCTGACAGAAATAGTCATAGAGCATCAGGGGCATCCGGGAGAGAGACACAAGAAGTAGTAGGGAGGGATTTGGAGTGGCGCAGCTCTTTCTGGTTTAGCGAAGCAGAAGCATGAGTGTTTCAGAGACACCAGCAAGAAAAGAAGGCTAGCTAATTGCGACCCAGCCTCTCTGAGCTAGCAGGTTTTCACCCCAGCCTTTCAATCTCAAATCTTATTCATAATTAGAGCGACAGAGATTTAATTAAGGCTACCTTTAGTGGCAGCGACAGGGCCAGTGCCTGCAGGAACAGAATTCCCGCAGGCTGCAGCCTGAGTGGCCAGGTTGCTGCTAGAGAAGCAGGTGGGTAACTATGGATTTGCGATTGCTGCCTGAGACAACAGTAGATTAAGGCACTGTGCCAAAGCTAAAGCAACAAAAATTCAGTGAAATTTCTCTGCTATTTTATTACAAGGATGGTCGGTCTCTCTTCCATTGGCTGATGGCACATTCCTCGATTCAGCCGCAATCCTCAGAATGACGCTGCCTTCTGCATTTATCAACATCCCGTTCAGAACCACTCTGGTACTTCCAGGACGCCGAGGCTCCCCTCCTCCCATTCTCAGCCTTCCCCTCCCCAGATCAGCCCCCTGCAGTTCATTGATGACATTGAAGCTGTAGTCCAGCGTGCCTGCCACAGCTCCTTGGGCCTCTGCTGCCTCTTGCTTACTTCTGAAGCACTTCCATGTTTTTAGTGTTTGTTTGGTCGTAATATCACCCCACTCAATACAAACGTCCTAATTTAGGTTCTTCGAGCAGCTATATAGCAAAATACCACTGGTGGCTTTATCAAAACAAATTTATTTCATACACTTCTCGAGGCTGGGAAATTCAAGATCAAGGCAGCTGGAGACTTGTCTGGGAGAACTTGTTTCTTAGACAGTGGACTTCCTGGGTAACTGAAAGGTTTATGGGTTCATGGGAACTACTGGGGCAGGTTGTCCTTTTGGGTAGGAGATTTATCAGAAGAATTATTAGGGCCATAGATAGACAGGTAGACATGCTAAGAGTTTTGAAAAGAGTTTAGTTCCATAAATGCCAAGTAATCGCTTTTGTAGGTTTCAGAGGGGACAGGGTGAACCCATACTATGTAGTTGACGTAACTGCCCATAGTATATGCTTGCCATCTCTGATTCCTTGGTGGTAGGGGAAGGGGAAAGGTTTGGTCCTTTAATTATTTTGTGTTTCCAGCATACAGGGTGTGGTGCCTGAAGCTTCTGATTGCTTCGGGAACTTATAAAGCTTCTCTTGGGGAAGTGAGGATTATAGACACACAGGCAGCCTTGGCAGGGCACCTGTTGTTTCTTTTATGGCAGCTGCGAGGGTAGAGACAGAAAGAAGCCTCAGTGGCTGCTGCCCAAACCTACCAGTTATGACCTCAGCAACGGTAGGTTCTTTACTTCATCCCAATTCACTTTTGCTTCATTTTGTCTTTGTCTTTTTTGAGTTAGAGTCTTACTCTTTATTCCTGGCTGGTCTGGAAGTGACTCTATAGACTGGGCTGGCCTCAAGTTTGTGACAATCCTCCAGCTTTTGTTTCTCAAGTGCTTGAAGCTATGGGTGTGTAATTTTAATTATTGCACACACCACAGTTCACACAGTATTTGTAAGTTACAGAAGAGCTAAGCAAAGAAAACATGGGGTATAGCATCCTTCTATGTAGCTTTGTAGCGAGAATCCACCAGAGTCTGGGAGAGGTTCAGAAGAATTTATTTAGATATATAATAGGGGCCAACACTCACTGATACACGACAGTTTAGACCCTGCAGCAGTTAATACAGTTATTCTGCCCAGGGGGAACAAGCACAGACAATAAGCCTCCGGCTCTGAGCAAGAGACAAAGCCCCCCCCCCAAGTTTATCAGTTGTCACATAGCTGATGCCCGAAGGCTATCGGCAGCATGAGTTCAACCTCTTGCTTCTACGTGCATGTGTCCACAAATGTACACACATTCAGCGCAGTGTGTAAAGGGTCAGTACGAACGCAGAATACTCTAAGATATCAGACACTGGGCCTTGTTATCTTCCACGTGGCAGTACGAAGAACAGAGGAAATCACGCTTCCCTGAGTCCAGGAGAGTTAGGAATTTGTTATTTGGTGATTTTCAGGGCAAAGGCACATTGGTGCCCATGACAGTGACGGGATGGTATGCCACGCTGTAGTCTGGTTTCTCCTTTCATAAATCTAGAGGCGACTGTGTCATTCATTGGTCTGGTGAGGGAAATGAATTCTCAGGAGATAATTTTTATTAACACAGATAAGCCACTCATCACTCTCTGCCTTCTGGGTGTGTGGGGCAGAGGGTACTGGTTCACATGGACAAACAAGTTAGCAAGTCGGGGGCTGGGAAGACGGCTCAGCAGGTAAAGGTGCTGGCTGCCAAGCCTAACAGCCCAAGTTCAGACCCTGAAATAAACACAATCAGAATGAGAGAACTGACTTCAGCAAGTTGTCCTCTAACTTCTGCCTGTGGGCCATGGCATGTGTTCCCCACCCTCACCAACTAACTAACTAACTAACTAACTAACTAACTAACTAACTATATGCCGGGTCATTCTACCTCAGCATTTATACCCAAAATGGAGTAACTGAGGATGAACTGGGCTCTGTAGAAAATGTAATTCAGTACAGGGCACAGCCTGCTCTTTGCGGGGAAAGGTTAATACCTGGAGTTAACGACTGACCTGGGCCTAGAGCACTAACAGAGGTCTTTCTGGGAACACGCTCATAGTGATTCTTGACTGCGAGGTTCAACAGAAAGAATACAGAAACAAAGCCAGTATTCGGTGATGATTAGACCAAGGTTAGTTCCATGCAGGGCAAGGGGGATTCTATTTTCCAGAGAATCTAGGTTAGGTGTAGGACCTGCACCCATCAACCAGGCCTCTCGGCATACAAAACTAACTGGGCCTGGCCCTCCCCACTGGTGTCTTCCAGAGTGTCCGGAGGAGAACTGTTCGATTTCCTGGCCCAGAAGGAGTCGTTGAGCGAGGAGGAGGCCACCAGCTTCATTAAGCAGATTCTGGATGGGGTGAACTACCTTCACACGAAGAAAATTGCCCACTTTGATCTCAAGGTCAGTAAGGGGAATAAAGCAAAAGACGTTTCTAAGAAGAAGGGACTCTGTCCCCTTGTCATCCATAGCAAGGGTCCAGCTCTCAGAGGCCCCCTCTTGTAATGGTCCACCTAAAACCTGACCTTGGGTGCAGTATGGCCTGTTGCAAGTATCCAGCTGTTTCACTTCTCCTCTCGGGTCTTCTGCCCATGGGAGCTGACATAAGATGCTCTTTGATCAACTAGAAACACGATCTCTTCCAGGGAATAGATGAGGCATGATTCGAAACAAAACAAAACCAGCAACAAGAAACTTGAAACAAAACCCATTTCACAAGAGGAAATTGACTGACAAGGAAGAGCTAAGTCATGAGTGGGCAGAACCAGCAGGGTTTGCAGAATTGCACAGTGTGGCCTTCTGTCTCCTCACCAGGGCCATTGGCTGCCTGCTCCTACCTCACCCCAAACCAGAGCCGTAAGACTGCTTCCAGGGCCCACTGATCATTTGTGGTTACAGCTGTTCAGGGTCAAGAAAGTTCATCATGACCACGTGTAACTGCATAGAGTATGACTGTGGTCAAGGCAGAGGGATTGGCTTCCTGAGTAACTGAGCTCAGGCACATGCACTGATGGTCTCTGCAGGTAGCTGACTCATGGAGGTCCCTTCCACACATGTGCAAACTCCTGCTTACGGGAGGACACCTACCCACTGTTCGTCATTATTTCCTTATTTGCTTTTGAGTCATGGTCTTTTGTAGCCTAGGCTGGCTTTGAACTCATGAGTCCCCTGCCTCTGCTTCCCACGTGCTGGGCTTACACAAATGCATCGCCCACCTGGCTGTCTATCCAGTGTTCTCTGCAGAAAGCCCTGTGCTCTTTTGTGTCCTGGGCTTCGCTCCTCTTTCCTAAGGAGATCAATCGTTCTAATAGTTGTGACAGAAGGAAGCACTGGGGAGGCTGGGGAGCCTGAAGAGCAGACCTCCAACTCATCCTGAAGTTATCAGAGAGGCTGCATGGAAAAGCAATTCTAAAGAATTGACGGGTTTGCAGAGGGATGGACTGTACATCACAGTGACCCACAATTCATTCAGTAGAGTACAGAAGAGAGAGTGTGTACGTGTGTATCACAGTGATCACAGAATTCATTCAGTAGAGTACAGAAGAGAGAGTGTGTACGTGTGTATCACAGTGATCACACAATTCATTCAGTAGAGTACAGAAGAGGGAGTGTGTACGTGTGTATCATAGTGACCGCACAATTCATTCAGTGGAGTACAGAAGGGGGAGTGTGTACGTGTGTATCATAGTGACCGCACAATTCACTCAGTGGAGTGCAGAAGAGGGAGTGTGTCCCTGACTGGGGAAGAGTCCAGGAAGAGGGCAGGAGGCAGGTAAGAGATGCTGAAGCAGAGTCAAGGAGGTACCCTTTACCCTTTGCCCCTTGCCCTTTACCCTGAGAGATACGAGGGACAGGTTAGCAGGCATATGTTTCAGCTTGATTCCCTCTGGCTGGGAAGATGGACAGAATGGGGCCAGCAGAGCAGCTGAGGGCCCAGCAGTGATTTAGATGAGGTGTTCGGTAACTCAGAGGTCAACCTCACAATTGCCTAGGTGCCTGACTCTGTGTGATGGTGGAGGGGAGGCAGTGTCCACAATGACACCGGGATCCAGAGAGAATATGACATTGCTGGACTTAGTTCCCATGCATGGATCCCTGTCCCAGCTCTTATCCTATCGTGGTCCCCCTCCTGACGCCAGTTGTCGCAGTATTTTGAATTACTTCTACTGAAAATGTCTTACCGAGTCCCCTCAGTCGTCACAAAATAAAAGTTGGAGGCCCAGTGGAGGGTGGGACTGGGCAAGCTTTTGGATAGGGGATGGTGACACACCATGGGGGTGACATATCAGGGAGGTGACAATGGTCTACCTGGATTGCACCTGCGTTTCCTTCCTGGTAACACCATGGGTAATTAAAGCTTATTTTCTTGGGTCTCTACTGGCTCCTGGAGTCTGCCTCCGAATGGGCTCCTTTTGTCTTTTCTCCGGGGGGGCTAGTAGAAATGGGGGGAGTATGCTGTGGTGAAGGGGAACCTGGGTTGGAGTCAGCTGTGCTGGAATTTGTGCTTCATTCCGCTCTACACCCGACGGCACCGGCACCCGAACCTTGGTTTGTCAGCCCTGTTGCAGATAGCACCACCTACCTGGCAGAGCTGACATCGGAGGGAAGCTGTGTTAAGTGGTGCATGCAGAATGTGTGTTGCATGCTGTTATTGTTCTCTCCCTTCCCAGAGAGTGGAAAAGAAAACACAACTCTTATTACAATGTTTTGGGCCCTGCTAGACCAGGAAAACAAACTCTGCCAATGTGGTTCTTGCGCTGCCCTGAGAGAGCTGAGACTCGCTGTTGTGGGGTGGCGGATGGGGCTATTTCTAGCTCTTGGTCTTGGCATTTTCCATGGCCTAGAGACAGTCTGAGTTTACCCTGGTACATGCCGGGTGAGGATGCTGCTAAGCCCACCCGTGGTCGTCCATCCTCAGGGTATACACTCGGGGGAATGATGAGCAGCTGGACCACAGATTTTCCTCATGGTTAGGAGACATTCCCATACCCAGAGTGTAGCTCTGTGTGCCATTGGACTGGAAGCCCCCGCTAGCTTTGGGGGATACAGCAGCTGGTACCCCAGAAGAGGTTTCCTGGTTCCATGTTGCTTCCTACCCTCTAACATTTGCATATTCCTTAGTTTCCCTTTTCTGTGATGAGCTTCTGTTTCCTCCGACTTGCTTGTATTCTTTTACCCCTCGACAAGAAAGCCTGGCTTCCCTCGGACACAGCCACCAGGTCATCTCTGTGCTCCATCCCTTACCTCTTTGCAGCCTGAAGGAGCCTTGGCTGAGGAGGTCAGCTGTCTGGCCTGCCTTTGTGAGGTGAATGGCCTCCTGGGAAGCTGCCTTGGTTTCTTTGCTATTTGCTGTGATAAAATACAACAGTACCTCAAGGGAAGGGTTTCTTTCAGCCTACAGTTAAGGGGACAGTCCACTGTGAAGTCAGGGCTACAGAGCTTGAAGCAGCCGGTCCTTCCCATATAGTCAAGAACCAGAGAGGGAATGAATGTATGCTCATGTTTAGCCAGCTTTCTCCATTTTATAGAGTCTTGGATCCCCTTTTCAGAAGGCGTCCTACCCACAATAAATATAGGTCTGTTCACATTCGTTAACGTGAAGGTAACTTTCCACATGCCCAGAGGCCCGTCTTTCAGGTAATTTTAGAGACCGTGAGTGAGTCGCGACCTCCCTACCCTTCCTTTTCCCTTCCCAGGGCCTTCCTGCTCATCCTAGAAGACCCAGCAGAAACTTTCTTTCCTCTAGAAAGCCTCGGCTGTTTGCCAAAAGTCTAACTATGAAGTAACCAGCCCCTTTGCTTCTATTGCCCTCTGTGCAAACTTCTGCCAGGGGCATTGGTCTTTTTTTCTAATAAGCTTTTTATTGATTCTCTGTGGATTTCACATCATGCATTCGAGTGCCACTTATCTTCCCGTCCCCTCACATCCACTCTCTACCCTTGTAACCTCCCCCGCCGCAAATGAAAACCAAATTTAAAAGAAAAACCCCAAACCAACCAACTAACCAACCAAACAAACAAACAAAGAATCTTGTCATGGAAGCTATAGTGTGGCCCATTGCGTCACACAGTTTCCCCTTTAGTCCATTCATCTTTACTTGCAAGTGTCCATTGCCCGGAGTCAAGGTCTGGCTCCAGGCCTCTGGTTTCTGCTACAGCACCAATAATGGGCTCTCATGGGGCTCCTCATGGATCTCCTGTTGCCCTGTGTCATGGGGATCCTGCTGTTTTGGATCTGTAGGTTCCTCCCCTCCACAAGCTCCAGCAGTTCATAGATGAGGTGAGTTTCAAGGTGGGCCAACTCACAGCCCTGCTTCTGGGCCTGGGTGGTAGCTGGGTTGGTCAGCCCCCCAGCTTTCCCTCCTGGTCACTACCCAGGAGAGCTCTCCAGCACTGCCTCAGCCAGCTCACCCAGTGCAGCCTGGAGCAAGGAGCTGGGACCAAGTCCTCCTGCTCTCGGGTTCTCAGGTCCAGGTCACCCACGCTCACATCACCAGGGCCAGCTCTACTGTTCCGCCCAGGCAAGGTGCAGGGCCCTCTGGGAGCACTGATTTTTGAGTCACTTTCTGTGGCACAGTGTCTGACATAGGACGAGTCGCTCGGTGCTGGGCGAATGAATGAGCGAATGAACGGATAGCTTAGTGACAGGCAGATGTACTCGTGAAAGCGCAGCGCTCTTTCATAAAAGTGCACAAGAGGTTAGAGGCAGAGCGCGGTTAGTTCACCAGTGTGCACGTTTATTGAGGGCCCACTGCCATCCAGGGGAAAAGCAATTAAACACTGTGAGGCAGCCCCCGCCTTCCAGGACACAAACGTCTTTGGGGATTGGACACCAGGAGGCTTGGTGATGAGGCCACCTGAAATAAAACCTAACAGGTCCTTACTAACCATGCCCACTTTCAAGGAGTGAGCTCTCTGCCTCAGAGTGGAGACCATTTCCGTGTGTGTTGTTAACTGGACACACATTTGGGTAGGTTAGAGTGGAAGAATTAGGGTCATTACCCTGTTGGGAGGGACATGGCTGATGGCCTATTGGTATCAGGGACAGTCAGCCAGGCTGTCCATAGGTCAGTTCACCAGGAAATAGGCCTCAGAAACCTCACCTTTGTACAAATAACAGCCCTGGAGAGGGTGTCTGTATGCGGTTTTGGTGCGGCTTCTCCTCTGAGCCTGGGTGTATTCTTTTCTCTCTCCACCAACCAAATTCATCCTGAGAACCCTGAAATAGACAGTGGGCCCTGGGACTAATGGTCTATTTAAAGCAGAAATAATAAATCATGAGAAATGACTAAAATTGTATGTAATCTAGAAGCTCAAAACTCTGAGGAGGTTTTTAATTATTATGAATACTAGTAAGAGAGTAAATTCCACCAGTCAGTGGTGGTGCATGCCTGTAATCCCAGC